GTGTTTCCTCCACCCATACGTAACTTTTTAAAATAATAAAAGCGTCTTCCACTCACCTCGGCCGCTGGCTTGCCTCCCGCCGACACGCACTCCAGCTCTATTTCGCGGTCTTCCGTTGTAAATATCACCTCACCCTGTGTAATTTTCGGCGCTTCCGGCGGCACCAGTATCGTCAACTTGGCAAAACGTGAACGTATGCCCGCCTCACCCTCCGGCCCAGGTCCCACTTGGCACTGATATTTGGCGTCATCGTCTAGCATCACCGGATAAATATCCAACGAAAAGTCGCCCTCCTCATCACTGCCCACCATCGAGTAACGCTCGAAGCCGCTCAAATTACGATGCTGCCCCAGCCCAAAATCATCTTTGGTCCATTGCAGAGCACCCACCTTGCCCATCACGCGACAGGGCAACGTAACACGTGAGCCCACAACAGCGGTTTGGTCCTGCGGCTCCATTGCAAAGCGTTGACCCTCCGATGGTGATTTCTCATCGTTATTGTGATGACTGCTGGCACTTTTACGCGACTTGGGTTTGGCTTCTGTGGAGTGAAGTTGGGTGCTAAGCAGCAACAACGACATCAGTAGGATTGCAACAAAGCCGAGACGAGTCGTTGTCGTTGTGCAGCAACTGGATGGAATGTATGCTCTTGGTTGGTAATGATGGTTGTGTCGCTGATGTGGTGGGTGGTAACTACCTTTACAGTTCTGTTTGTGGCTGTGGCTGCAGCTAGGGCTGTTGGTGCATTCGCAGTCTGGAGTTCTGCGCGGCCGTGACATAAAAGCGAGATATGTGCACTTTTTTGATATGGACATTTTCTTAATGTTTGTTTTTGTTGTTGTTGTGCTTGCTGCTGTTGTTACAGCAGTCGTTGCAGCAAGTAGTAACGAGCGTGTTGTAGCTGCTTTTGTTCCACTTACGGAAATACTATACCGATAAAATTCTTGTATAGGCTCACACACAAAACGTGTCAGGATGCGAAAGCCTGCAATTGAATAATAAATATGGGGAAACATGAGCGAAAATTGCGTACACATGTACGAGTATTTTATATGTATGACGTTTTCGCAGTTTAAATTGTAAACGTATGACCCCATTTTTGCGCTTTTAAATTGAATTTTTATTGTAAATATGAAAAATAAGGTTTATATGTCGACTGCGAGTTTGCTTAAAATATCGTTAAAAAGTTACATTACGAATTCATTAATTACACACGTTTTTAGACTGCCTTAGGGGCGCTAAACATGAAAATAAGTCTAATTTATATTTCCAAATAAGTGCGTTCGAGACCCCTTTTCTAAGTCGTTTTCAGTTATTGCAAAAAAAAAAACTCCAGAGAAGCAACACAACTAATCTTCTTCGAAAGGTATCCGAAAGAAATTTTTAGCCTCATTGCGTTGTCAATGGGAATAGTACTTTTTGAGTTTCAGGCGTTTAAATTCGAAAATTAAGGAAATTTTTAAGCCTCTTCGAAAATTGTTCATTTTTATTCATTTCTTTCAGTTGATAAACTTTGCAAATAAAAGTAATTAAAAAAGTTAGGATGAAGGACAATTTTATAACGAAAGTGTGAAGCATAAAAACGCCCAAATCGGACAGAAAATCTTAAACTTTTGGCAAATTTAATAAAAGCGGCCAATTTAAATTTTTGCTACAATCGCTCTTTCAGTTGAAAATGTGTTTATCCACACAAACAGCAAAAATGTTTAAATTTAATGTTTCAAATTAGGTTAAGATTTTTTGAGCCCCAAAGTGCTGTTTCAAATTTAAAAGGGCCAATAAAAGACCTAGGGGCTAAGAGCAAATTTCTGGGCAATTTAAAATAAAAAAATAGCTAAATCTAGCCACAAAAGGGCAAAACGGCAACACTGGCAACTGTATATAGATACATAGCAGAGACGTGTACACTTAGGTGCCTCCAATAATTTCAATCGAATCAAAGGGTGAGTCATGTGAAATACTTTTAGTAGTACATGCATGTCTAATGTGACCAACCGTACTTCTTTCGGAAGTACAGTACTTCTTTTTGAGTCGTTGTACTTCGTACTTCGAAGTACAGTCCAATGTACTTCTTTGCAATATTTTATTCTACCCAAGCCACATTGAACAGAAACTGATAGAAGCTGATTTGATTTTTTGAAATTATTTGGTTCCTAAAATGTCAAATATTTTTAATTGCTTCTCACAAAAAATACAAATTGCCAAAATCTTTTTGCATGAGAAACCTTTTCTCATACAAAACCAGCGAAAATCAACTTTTGGAAAGTTCACCTAACTCCGCAGCAAAAACGCTGATGCCCGGGCCTTGCATATGATGGATCAATGCTTCGAGAAGCAAATTTTATTTTTAATTTTTACTCAAAATCAGAACAGTTGTTGACACTTTAGTTAAGACAAGCAACAACAAAATAAACATAAATGTTGTTTTTGCTCCAATACCTTTTTTTAACTGTTTCGAACAATTTCAAAAGGTTAGTCGTCTCAGTAAAGAAGCGTACTCATAGATCAACACATAAATTATGACTCTCAATCACTTCACTTCTCTAGCTGACAAATTTCATAATAAATGGCTACTCAATCAAGAAAAATTAAAAAGTGTTACGAGAGTTTAAAAATTCTGTGGCGAATCTTTCTTGCTCCTGTGGATATTCAGAATCGACAATATCGATGCAATAATAAACATTTTCTTATCCAGGCAACATTTTAACCATTTCCTTATTAACTATCGTACAGTGCTTATTTTTTGGACACGAAATTGCTAACCCCTTCAAGTGGTTTTGATTACTTACACCAGGCTGAGATTGAACCCAGTCGACTAAATTTACATCTCGCAAAATAGACTCTTATTGTACTTATCTTAATTTTTGAGTCTGGGGAGAGGTCTCGACCTTCTTTAACTCGCAATAGAATTTTGAAATAATCTCACATTTATTTAAAACAGTTCGTCGGCAATGATTTTTTTCCAGCATTTTAAAATCATATACTTATGTAAAATTTAAAATAAAAAAATTAAATTGTTCAAAAATATTGTTCCCAGCATACCATCGGACTCCAATCAGTAATAAAATGTTTTCATGTTTTTATAGAAAAGAACGCTAAATTAAAAAATGATTTACATGTTATTCAGTAAACAACATAATAACGGAAAAATCCTGAAGTAAATCAAAAAATATTTTGTATCTTGTTTAAAAAATGTTCCAGCATATTTTCTATTCAATACATCTGAAAAGTTCTAAAGTTAGACAAAAGTAATTACGTATTATTGTTTACCTCTAAATGCATTTGAAACTGCCATAACAGCTTTTTTGCGGTGTACATTTTCAGGAATATTCGGAAACGACGATCAGTTTCTTCTTGATTGAAAATTTCTTTTTCAATTCACAGACTAAATACAAAAAAAAAAAAAACAAAAAACAAGAAAACAAAAAACACTTCGACTCCCTTCTCACTCCATATTCGGTGTGCTCCGAAAATGCTCTTTCAAGGTGTTGCTGTGGGCATCCTTTTTTACTCCATATTCAGAGCGCTCCGCAGTTGCTGCCTATTGAAATAAACGCAGCAATGCTTTGTTCAATGTAAAACTTTAAAAATTTTTCCATGGAAATATTTAAAAAGTGGTCTAATGATTTTTAAATCTGAAATGTTCTTACAAAGTTTCAGATCGACCACTTTAATTTGATACATGACTTTTTTCGGTACGATTACTAGATCGCTGGGAATAAGCGCCTTGGCTTTGAATAATAAATAGTATCGATTTAAATTAATAAAATTTATTTGTTGAATTTGTGCACTGTTACCGTTTTTGTATATTCTGCTTTTACAATTTTCTCATTACTTTCATACTATTTTTGATTTTCTGTTTCTGTACTTCCTTGAGCTATGAAATAGTTGGTCACATTATGCATGTCGACAAATTAGAAAATTTATTTGATTTCTTTTTTACGAGGTTTGTGTCACAGCTACATTGAATATGTATTGTAATTTAAATTTTGATTTCCTTCCTCCCTGTGTTTCTGTCATCTCCAATTCCGTATCCTCAGTCGTGTTTCAACTTTCGCTAGTGTTTGCTGCTCGTTTTTTTGCGCTGAACAGTTTTATTAAATTGTGATTTAAATTAAGTATTTAAGTGCAAAAACTATGTTTTGTTAGGTGTTTACAGTGTATTTAAGTTGAGATTTCAATAAATACATATAATCCATTATTTGTGATGAAGTGGAAGCATATTAAATAAAAAGTTATATGGCCGATGCGCTGCCAGCGAAGTTTGCCAATATGGCGGCGCATGGGCAAAGATAAAGGCTTGTGTAAAGTGCAAAATGCTAAAATATTTTTCAGCGCATATAAAGGTATGTTTATTCATATTTATCTACAATGTATGTACATCAGTGACACGGTGGAGAGAATACAGAAGGTGGCGCCGATGGCAACACCGCTAATCGGCTCTCAGTGAATTTAACAGAATCAGCTGTTTTTCTAGCTGACGTCACAGTCGAGATGACAGCAGTAGTAATTTGCTGAGTCAATACTTTTAAGTATCCAATACTCTCGATACTCGGTACCGAAACATTTAGGTTTCGAATAAAAACGCACATAGGCCAAAAATATAGAAAAAACGGTGCAGGGGAGACTCGCCTATCAAAACCCGAATGTAAGAGCCAATAGAGCTTTTAACACTGATTCAAATGAACGATGTATATATGTCGGTTCGAGGCCATAATACAGAGAAACACTTACATGTTTGAAGCATTTTTGTTCCAGCTAAATCGGGCGATATCATTTTTGTAGGCCTGGGGGCAGATTCTGTAACCAGTTAGCGACAATTTTCGAATCGGTATCGGTTTTGTTGACGTATGATATGAAATATTTTTACGCCAACAAGTGCGATAACGATCCGAAACTTGTCGCTAACTGGTTACAGAATCTCCACCCCCCCTGAAAGGCTTCTTCAGCCGTCAAAGTATTTTTCTTCAACCTTGGATCGACTAAGGTTAAAACTGATAAAATAATATTTCTCTGTTGCGACAAGTTCAAGTGTTTTAGCCGGTATCATATAAATTAGTAATGAAATTTTTTCCTAAACTTGAAATGCATATAATGGCGAAGGTTTAATGTGAAGAATCAGTACCGGGTACCGATAAGGAAGTATTGGGTACCGAAACCTTTTTTAAGTATTGGGTACCGACAATTCAACACATCACTAGACAGCAGTTTTATTTGCCGCTCTAAGTTGTCAACTCTACGGAGACGTCACGCCAAAATTACTCTCACGAATTCTGCTGCAATCGGCGCAATCTTGTATTCTATCATTCTTGATATTTATGTATGTATGCTTTTGTTCATTAACATATTGAGTACTTATAAATTTATATACGTACATACTTACTTAAACTAACTAATATTTTTTAATTGCTACTCTATTTAAACCATATTTTCAAAATTGTTTTCTCTTTGCCCGGTCGAGTTAGATTTTCAACTTTGCAGTAACTCGCATAAAGCTAAAAATTGGTATGAAAGTTACGAACGTCATTATAAATGAAATGTGAAAAGTTCTTATCGATCCCAGATCTGTAAAAAAAATATTCAAGGTCAAAGGTCACATGAATTGATGTTTACAATTTTTCAGCTAAACCGTAAGGTTTATCATAAAAGTAGGTTAGACAAAAGTGTAGATCATGCAATTATCTCCAAAACACGTTATGACATTTTTTTTCCTAAGAGTCACCATTTCTGGGATATAACGACTCGATCGACATCCATTTTGTTATAATTTATTTAACTTATAAAATACTTTGAATTGGTGTTAATTTTTTAACAGGTGATAGTATAAAAAATTCAGTCTATATAGCAGGCCCTTTTCCAAGAGCCCACATTTTTTGCGTGAGTATAGTATTGATTTCATATATCCACCACAAATAGTACTTCCAGAGGTATGCAGTATGAAAAATTCCATTTGTATGGGAGTTGCCACGCCCCTTTGTCTAAGCG